GCTGCCCAGGGCCCGGATGCGCGGCACGAGACGCAGAATCACACTCGACTTGTCCGATCGTTTCCGGAGCGTATGCAAGAACAGCAGCACGGCTACCAGCACGTTCGAGCCGTACTGCGCCAACATGAAGAATTTGTCGGTGCCCGTCCACGTCCCGAGGAAGCGCACGAGATGCGCGAGGGTCTTGGGCGACGGCACCTTGAGCAGCTGCTGAAACAGCCGATCCATCGCCCTCTCGCGCGACTGGCGCGCGGAGGGGGCTGGCACCGGCTCGAGCGCCTTTCCTTCGTCCGCCTGACTCATGGGTACAAAGACAGGCCGTCTCTCGACGCGAGTCTCGGCGCTCCACCCCAGGCGTCGTCTCCGGCCGCGAGGAAATATGCGATCGGCGACCCAAGAGTGTCCCTCAAACAGGCGGCAGGGCTATCCGGCGCTATAGGTATCGAGTACATAGGCCCGTGAGCAGCTCGCTCCGAGCTGGTATAGTGCATGGCGCGGCACCATTACTTGCGCATGCTACTCGACCGCACTTCGTCACGCACGCGCTTTTCGATCTCGAGCCACTCCCGCTGAGCCGCCGGCATAGACGCTTCCGTCTTTTCGCGACGGAGGCGCGCGGCATCGTCATGAGACGCATCTGCATGTTCCGGACCATGCTGAAATCCGAGGCGCTCCAGCAGCACAAATCGCTTGCGCGCTGAGAGCGGGCGGCAGGCCTGGGCACGAATCCGCTCGCCAATCGTGAGCACCGAGTCGGGGTCGTGCACGAGGTACTTGGAGTGGCGCACGTACGACTTGTGCAGCTTTGGGTGCATCTTGATTTTAGAGACGGTCATCGTGACAGTCTTGGCCATGAACCCGGCCTTGGTCACGATGCCCGTGAGTATTGTGGCGCCCATCACAAGCTGCGTCGGTGTCGTCGTCGTCTGGGAAAAAGAAAAAAGCACGCACTCGTGGAATTATGCACGTGGAGTAAAGGTCATGCTTGGCTACTGTACAACGAATCTACGGCGCATACGGCGACGGGCGAGGTGTAGGAGGCATCGACAAGGGCGGGAGTGGTAGGGGATGGGCGTGCGAGCTTCGCAAAGATATAGGCGCGAGTGCCGGGACACCCTGTGGGTGACGCAAGGCATAGTGCGTGGACAGCGCCTGCTTCTGCAGTTCGTCCAGGTTGTTCTCAAGGTGGGCTGTGCGGCGCGCGACGCGCGGCACAGGTCGTCGAGTAGGAGAAGGCGGCACCTTTGTACATGGCTGCGATGGAATGGTGGGCAATGGCCCACGTGCGGGACGCTGCACGCACGATGCGGGTTCGCCCGCCGGCTCTTGCCATGCCACGACCGGCGCACCATGGTGTGGGACAGGCTCCCGCCATGCGGCTGCCGTGGGCACGAGCGAGCCTGTATGCGTTGTGCGTGGCTGCGTGCCAGGCATACGCAGCTGATTCACCTCATCATACTCGCTAAGCCCGTTCCCCCTCTGGCTGCTGGATGACGAGAGTAAGCGCGGAGGACGCGCCTGAGCCGAGTCAATGATCGACAAATACCAGAACATAAAGTTGGAGATTTCCACCTGCTGATATAGCGGCCGCCGCGGATGGCTCAACTTGACATGCGAAAGGCGATACAACGAGCGCTCGACCGAAGGAGGATACCGCTTCGCTAGTGGATACTCTGTGTGGTGCGAAAACGGCGAGGATCCAGTGAATAGACTGCGTGCGCGGTGACGCAGTGAGTCATACGAGTCCATCCCCTTGCGCTTGCTAAAGAGACCCGTCAGGAAGGTGTCCTTTTCGCGGCGAGGTGCCTCGTCGACACAGGTAGCCTCCTTCTTCCGCACATCGTCCTCTTTGGTCAGGCCAAACCACGACAGACCAAATGTCTTGCGGTCCCGCATCGTCGACGTGCGGGCTGATTCGTCCAGCTTAGGAGTGTGCCGCGGGCCTTTGTCGTCGCTGCGTCGCGGTGGGACACGCACTTCGTCAGGTCGCGGATGTGGTTGCACTGCTTCCGGTACCTGCGGCACCACACGCCTAGGCGGTGGCACAGAGACTGTCTTCGGCGGTGGCTCAGGCAGCTGATCCTTCGGAGGTAGTATAGGACGCATGAATGCGTGTTCGTTCGACGGTGGACGCGGACCTTGTGGCGCCGTTTCGGGCGTGGGCTGAGGTGCCAGGGAAGGCTGGATCGCATGCGAAACAGTCGGAGGCGGTTTGCGATGAACACGAGAATGATACGTCGGCGAGCGAGGCGGCACAGACTCCGCACGTACAATCGGTCGGTCATGCACGGGCTCTGGGTCGGTCATGGAATGTCGATGTAGGGTCATCTCAGGCACCGATTCCTCAGCTCTGACTTGGCGCCGCAGCGTGCTGGAACGCCGCAAAATACCAGGCTGGCGCATTCGCGAATGGGTATCTAGCTGGTGAGCTGTCAGGTTATGGTGTACATTGCGCTCAGCTTGCGCCTTGAGGAATGCACGAAACTCGTCTGGACTGACTTCAGGGTGCATCGAGGCAGATAGCCACACGCCCTCAGACAGTCCTTTCGGTGGGGGAGGCGGAGTTGCGGGATCGGCTGCAGCCTGAGCCTGGCGCATCTGGCGCCGCGCGAGGTAACGCTCCCGTTTGGAAGAGCCAAAGATGGGGGAACACTGAGATAGCGTCTTTTCGTCAAAAGGACGGCCATCGTCCAGTGTGGGGGTGGAAGGCGGCGGCACACTCGCGCCACTCGATACGGAAGAGGGCGTATCAGGCAGAGGGGGGAAATCATGTACAGAGGGTGACTTATCATACAGCTGCACGCCGGCAAAATCTGGATCAATGGCGGCTGGGTGACTCGTGGACAGACGCCGGCGAGCTCGGAGGGCCTGGACCTCACGGGCCAGGTCCAGCTCATTCATATCCATCTCCATTTTGCCCACAATGCGCCTTGTGCGCAAGTGCTACAGCACTGAGTCGAGAGCCGTCCTTCTCGTCGCACCGCGCCCTGTGGCACTGAAGAAAAAATTCTCGAGCCGCTGGACCCCACCATGCAGGGTGGCGTCCACCCGATCATGCATGACCAGGAAGCCCGATGTCATAGACCCTATTATATATTGCATATGCACCCCTATGTATGGCTGCAGCGTCCGATAAGCGATGCCTCTCCCAGCTGGCTCCGTCATGTGGCTGTGGGTGCCTTGACATACAACGCACCTGCATTCGATACTGTGTCGACTCGAAAGCCGCGCTGGCGAAGATAGCGCTCAATCGCCGGGCGAATTACCGAGACACTGTGTCGACTGTGCACACCTCGGCCCGTGATGATTTCGAGCGGTGGCCTCGAGCGCGCTTCGCCTAATGGCGTTGCCTGCCATCGTGCCACATTCTGTGCTACCACCGTCAGGGCCTCGTGCACGGTCAGACCATGCAAGTCGATGCGATCCGCGGCTCTGCTGTCATGCCCGCTGCTCTGTGCATCCAGACGCCGCTGGTCTACCAGCGCACTCGACGCCCGCAATTGCCATCGCCGTGCCTCCATGTCGTACTTGCGTGCCTCCTCTGCGTATACCATTGCCGCACCTCCCATCCGAGAGGCGCGCGATTGTTGTGCACTCCGCGCAGCTTGCTGCAGCGCCTCGTTTCTTCGCGCACGGTACTCAGCGGCACGTTCACGACAATCTTCGCTCGAGTAGACATGGTCATCCATCTCATCCTGCCATGCTGGTGCCATGGCCACACGGCCTGCCGAAGCAGGAAGAGTAATTCCACCAGGTTGCCGCGCTTCTGCGCGCGACACTTCTGCTCGCGACGCACGACCTGCGTACGTGAACGCTGCATCACCACTCGGGAGCCATTGCGGCACGGGACCCGTGACAGGCTTATGAACAGACTGTGTGGATGTGACTCGTTCCGCATTGTCCCTCTGTGTTCCGACGCGACCGGCGGGATCAAGAACGTCAGGACCATCTACGAGGCCATCTGCTGCTTCACGGATCACGTTGCGCAGCTGGAGCAAATCGAGCGCAGCGTCTTGATGCCCTTGCGCCGCTTGCAATAGTCGCGCGATCTCTCTCTCCGTCTCCTCGGTAATGCTGGCAAGCGACGCGCATGTGGCAGCAAACTCAGGCGCTTGAACTGCTTCTCGGGCTTGTGGACTCATCATCGCTGCTTCTACTGCACGACCAAAAGTCAAGTGCAAATTAAAGGAAGACTGATGGAATAGGCTTTGGATGCGTGCTGGCGACATGCCAAGCAAGACGGCCAATTGAGACAGGGAAGAAGACGCTAGAAGCCATTGCTGGTCAGCTACAGGCTCTGACGCAGCAGCAGCCGCATCCCGCTCTGCATTCTGTAGCTTGCGTGCCATTTCTTCATCTGTGAGTCCAAACGTGTCCACCGGCGTGTCTGGCAGCTTGGAAGTAGGTCGCGGCACGCGTTTGTCGTAGTAAATGTGATGAGGACTGCGCTGGTCAGTCAGACTCACAGTAATAGGTCCTGCGGTGCGCTTCTTGGATTTGTTGGAAGGTTTCGATTTCTTGCTAGCTAAACCCTCGGCCAAAGCATCATAATCCAGGCCTTTTTGTACAGGCACCCTGGGTTCCTGGGCCAACATATCCTCGACGTATAATTTGTCCATTACCACGTCAATATCTCCGTCACTCGAAATAAGCAGTGTCTCGAGTTTTTCATATGCCACATGCGGAAAGCTTTGCTGAAGAAATAGCAGGATGAGCTCAGCAGACACAAGCTTGTCCTGCGCACATCCGGGCGGTACTGTTTCTACCAGCGCATCCAAAATTTTAGATGCTTCATCTGTCGACTGTCCAGGCTCATTCGCGATGGCTAAAATAAGACTAGAATCTAACACTGACGCGTATCGTTCAATCAACGCATCGGCCACCGTCTCGTCGGACATGCACAATTAACTCGAGCCCCAGATCCGTGCTGTTTCTCCATTCTCACGTAATATATCCCATTCAGTCATGCATGTCTCTCTCATCCCCATGTACCATGTGCAGGCAAGATGGCCGAGTGGTCTAAGGCGCTGTGTTCAGGCTCGCTTCGCGACACCTTGACATAATATCGCAGTCTCCCTGAGGCGTGGGTTCGAATCCCACTCTTGTCACACTTTTTGTACACTCGAACAGCTGTGGAGATGCAACATAAGCTTTGCAGCCTTCGCGGGCCCATTAGCGCCAACTGGTAACGAGCTTTCTTCTCACCCCTTTTTATTTCTTAGGTATTTTTTAATATTCCCAATTTGTAGGCTCACGATATGACCAAGGCGCCTACAGAGGAGGTCAAGCAAGTACCTACTGTTGATCACCAAGCCGATGACACGGCTATAGAGGCGGACCGTTTGAATGTGCTCGGCGACATACAAAAAGGCAAATTGGACATGAGTACTGAAATGGAAGGCCCTATACACGTCGAAATGAGCGCTGTGGATGATGTTTATTTGCGTAAAGTATATATCATGAACAAGATCATCAATGAGCACATTGGTATGACCTGGTGGCAGTACGGCTTGTTGATGGTAGCCGGTGTGGGCTGGTTCCTTGATAATGCCTGGCTTCAACTTGTGGCTGTGATTCTTCAGCCTGCGCATGATGAGTTCAAAGATTCAAACAACGACTATGGAAATCAAAATTCTGCCATGTTAACGCTGTCCCTATACGCTGGCTTGATTGTGGGCGCCGCTTTCTGGGGATTTGCAGCCGACGTTGTGGGTCGTCGTTTTTCCTTCAACGCCACTCTTTTCATTTGTGGTGTTTTCGGTGCGGCTTCTGGTGGCGCGAAAAACTTTTACACGCTTGGTGCATTGCTGGCTTGTACAGGCGTTGGGATTGGAGGCAGTCTTCCGGTGGATGGCATGCTCTTTTTGGAATTCCTGCCAGGCGTTCGTCAACAGCTGTTAACTTTGTTGTCTGTATTCTGGCCCCTGGGTCAGCTTGTCACTTCACTTATCGGATGGGGTTTCATCGCTACTTGGAGCTGCACCTCCGATGATGACTGCATGGATTTACCAAAGAACAGCCGCGGATGGGTGGAAAAAAACGTTGGCTGGCGATACGCGCTATTTGTCACAGGTGCTTATACTCTTCTTTGCTTCTTTCTTCGCTTCGTGGTGTTCCAGATCCCAGAAAGTCCCAAGTTTTTAATCTCTAAAGGCCGCGATGGGGATGCCGTTCGAGCCATGCAAAGGTTTGCCAAAATTTGTGGTAAGCCATTGCCTGAAGGCATGCTTACTGTGGCATCACTGAGAGCTGCTGCTGGAGAAGAAGTGAATGAAGATGCTCTGATTGAAGAAGTAGACGCTGAGCCAGCTGGCTTTATGGACAAGATTATGAAACCAGTCCGAGAAATGCGCATCAATCTCCGAAACAGTCACCCTGCCGAAACATTCACTCATTTGCGTCCCTTGTTTTCGAATTTTGCCATGGGCTACACGACTGCCTTGATTTGGACGTTGTGGGCTTTAATTGGCTTGGCTTACCCTTTGTTTAATGCATTCATTGTGTTGTATCTTGGCAATGGTGATGACCAGAGTATTTCCAAAACATACCGCAACTATGTGATTATTTCTGCATGTGGTGTGCCTGGCTGTCTTTTTGCTACCTGGCTCGTTGATCTTCCGCGCGCTGGTCGCCGTGGTGCAATGGCTATTGGTACGCTTTTGACAGGTATCTTTTTGTTTGGGTTTACTGGCCTTGATGGTAGTAATTCATCAGGCAAGTTGGGTTTCTTTTGTGCTATTTCGTTTACGCAAAATGTAATGTATGGTGTACTGTTCTGTTACACCCCAGAGGCATTCCCTGCACCACTACGCGGCGCTGCTGATGGCGTTGGATCAAGCCTGAATCGACTATTTGGTATGTTTGCTGCCATCATCAAGTCTTACCAACCCAATTCGGATTCGCCCACACCTCTTTATGTGTCAGCTGCTCTTTTCATCGCTTGTGGCTTGCTCATGATAACGCTTCGTGTTGAGACAGCAGCACGCACTTCTATCTAATTCATTTCTTGTACTTGTAATGCGCACGTTAATTGCAGCAGTGATAATGTTTCACGTCACAGCTCTATTCTCCTTGACATCGAGAATCAAATGGTGCCATAGCGCCTTGCGATTCAAGTGCGTGTAGCTTATTGGTAGAAATACGTCAGCCGTGCATATTTAATGCACAAACCGCATACGCAATTCTGACAGAAACTAGGCAAAATTTGCGCGTGGCTTCTTCCACATAGGCGGCGGGTTCACGTGGAAAGGAGCTCAGGTTCCTTTCATGCCAGAAGCAGCTCAGCAACTCCATGAGCTGCAGAGGGATTCGCCTGCTATGAAAAATCAAACTTTTGAAGAAGATCAGGCAGCGCAGGGAGTGAAAATGATTGAATTTAGCGAGGATCATAATGAGTTAGCTGCCGTGCAAGTGGCCTATGCTCGCAAGGTCCACATCTTCAATAAGATTATAAACGAGAAGATTGGCATGACGCCGTGGCAGTATGGACTTTCGATGATCGCAGGTCTTGGCTGGCTCCTTGATAATGCCTGGCTTCAGCTCGTGGGTGTGATCCAAGCGCAGATCACCGTCGAGTACTACCGCGATCAATACGTCAAGGATCATCCTTACATTTCGAATCCAGCCTGGTTAACATTAGCACTATTCACAGGACTGTCAATTGGTGCCACATTTTGGGGATATGCAGCAGATGTTGTGGGTCGCCGTCTTTCCTTTAATGCAACTCTGCTGATCTGTGGTGTATTTGGCGTTGCCGCTGGTGGTGCCCGAAACTTTGCTTCACTGGCCGGTCTCATTGGTGCATCTTGTTTCGGTGTTGGTGGAACTCTGCCCGTGGATAGAATGATCTTTCTTGAATTCTTGCCCGGCCATCGTCAATTTCTACTGACGCTTCTGTCAGTGTTCTGGTCTCTGGGTCAGTTGGCTACGTCTTTGATTGGATGGGGCTTTATCTCCCGCTGGCATTGCGATTCACACGATGAGTGCATGAACAATACTACATCGGCTGGCTGGCTTACTGACAATGTAGGCTGGCGGTACTTGATTTTCACTACAGGCGCTTACACGCTGTTCGCTTTTTGTGTTCGTTTCATCCTATTTCGCATTCCAGAAAGTCCCAAATTTTACCTTTCCAATGGCCGCGATGCTGAAGCTATCCGTGCTTTGTATACCTTTGCCAAGATGTGCGGTAAGCCACTTCCTGAAGGCTACTTAACCGTGGCATCTCTTCATGCAGCAGCAAACGAAGCTGAAAGTCCGAACCCTGAAGCTCTGATTGAAGCGCCCAGCGGCATTCTTTCGTATTTCAAAGTATGGATGGAGGACATTAAACTTAATCGATCTCACTCTCAAGCCAAATTACCTTTCACGCAGCTCAAGCCACTGTTCTCTACCTTGCCTCTTGGGTACACGACGTGTTTGATATGGATCTTGTGGCTGTTGATTGGTTTGGCATACCCTCTCTTTAATTCTTTCATTATCGCATATTTTAATGAAGGTCAAGGCGTTGGCTTGTCTGGGTTCAGTAGCAAACCATACCGCGATTTCGTGATTGTGTCAGCATGCGGTGTGCCAGGCAGTTTGATTGGTGTATGGATGATGACATGGCCGCGCTCCGGTCAACGTGTTGCTATGGCGATCGGAACCCTTTTGTCTGGCGTATTCCTTTTTGGTTTCACTGGCGTAAGCAGTGATCCTGTGAGCCAATTGGCATTCTCATCGATTCTCAACTTCATGGAAAACATCATGTATGCTGTGTTAAATTGTTACACCCCCGAGTCATTCCCTGCTCCACTTCGTGCCACGGCTGGTGGCATTGCTTCCATGCTGAACCGCGCCATGGGTGTCGTCGCGGCCATTTTCAAGGTCTATACTACGGGCTACACAAGCTTTACCACTGCTCAGGCGCCTATCTACACTTCTGCAGCCTTATTCATTTGTTCTGCATTACTTATGCTCGCTTTACGTGTGGATAATGCCGCGCGAACATCCATTTAGTTGCCGTCATGGTCCAATACTTCGAGCTTGAGGCATTTCTTGTGCTCACAAATGATGAATTTTGATACTTTGTAGATTCGACATGACCATCGTGCATTCAACGTTTGTCACAATAATTGCGAGTGCTAAAGGGAGAGGTTCTCTTTGTATCTTATGCGGGCGCACGATTGTACCTGCTTCCTGGATTCGAGTTCGTGCAATGGAATAACACATTTTTACAGCCACAGAGAAGAGCCAAAACTATCTGCACAGTAGGGTCTATGCTGATGCCAAGGATGTCGAAGCTCCACACATGCTTGGTATCATTCGACCCCGACAAAAAGATGTTAATATAGAATAAACGATAGCCTCATAGCCACATCAGGCTTATATTTGGTTCATAGCGAATTTAGAGAGGCCTACGCTATCAACTATATCATTCATGAGCATGTCAAAATGACGTGGCGCAGCATATTCTAATTCGAGATGGGATTCGGACCAACAGTATGGTCAACAAACCCTGCCTCAGAACGTTTATTGCATGCTGGATATTAAAATGCGGCCTGTGGATGGCGTCCGCCGCTCATGTACTAAATGGAGTTGAATTCGCACTTTCATGCTAAATGCTGTCATTATTCCCTTTTCTTGAATTTCAACGTGTTACAGTCGCTTTATGATTCCAGCGCTTTGCCTTCACTCCCAGAACTGCTAAAACTCTTTCAATATAAAAATAGTCACACATATATTGCTTAAGACCACATAATTATAAGTACAGAGCACTAGGCACCCTTGTATCGCTGGGCATCCCATTGCCTCCAAATATCTTTAAAGACAAGCTGTGCACTTGCATCGAGCATACTCTTGAGTGCCGCGTCGCGCTCAAAGTCGCCGCAAATGTCGCATAAGGCAAATAGACCTGGCATTATCTCACGCCGCAGATTCGGAGGAATAGTCGTATGTGGCATAGTAACACAGCGGGCATATGCGACCAAAATGTACACGGCATGCTTCGTCATTGACTTGGCTAGCGTCTCGTTCATATTGGGAGTGTGGGGCTTGGCCTTCTTTGACACGTGGATCACGCTAGTTTTACCAGCAAGCTCAGACAGTACGCGCCGGAACGCCTGAGCAG